AAAGTCCTCTGGTGAGCATACTGGGCTCTCATCAATGGGTGAAACAGTGCCCCCGCCCATTGCACAGTAGAGTTGTCCTCTGTTCCATGAACCCTTTGATAGCAGGTTGGCCCATGCCGCTTGGGAGTCCTCCTCCATTCCATCAATGCCCGCAGCCCATCCTGCTGCTGCCATGGAGGAGGAGGTGGGTATGCTGACTTACCCGAGTCGTCCTCTTTGTCAGAGCTCCTGCTCCAGGAGAAGCTTGTGGAGGGAAGGAGTCGATTTTTGTCTCTGTGATCTGGGTTAAATTTCATGTGGGGTCTTCCCTTAGTCAAATCACACTTCATCTTTTTCCCAGGGGTCAACCTCTTTTGACCTCATTGATTTATGTGCCCGTGGCTTTTCTTCATGTGTGCACATGCACACGTGTGGAAGCCAGACACATGTTGGTCTTCAAAGGTGGCAGAGTGTAGAGCATCAACCCTAATCTTAACAGTGTTCCTCTCTTTCTCCCAATGCAGTTAACAAGCACAAGCCATGGCTTGAGCCCACCTATCATGGGATAGTCACAGAGAACGACAACACGGTGCTGCTGGACCCCCCCCTCATCGCCCTGGATAAAGATTCACCACTTCGATTTGCAGGTACAGTGGCCAGCTGTTCATGGTTGCAAGTTTGGCCTGGATAGGAGACAACGTACATCTGGCTGGATGACTGGACCTTTCAGGAAGTGATTTGGTAGCTGAGAGCTGCTTGAGGCTGCAGGCACCACATGTTCTCCTTTTAATAGTCAGGGTAGCTGACACAGAGCTGTTCTACTGGTTCAAGGGGGAAATTCTTAAGGTAATTGCATCATTACGTGCTCTGCCTTGTGCAGATAGGCAGATACCGTCTAGACAAGCATAGCCAGTCAGAGCACACACAGACCACAGGAACACTGTCAGCACAGAGTCGATGTGCTGAGCCCAGGACTTGGGCTCTGCAGCTTCACCTTGCACCCAGGTGCTCAAATGCCAGTGTGGCTTCACTCCACATACTCTTTGTTCCATTCATCTATAGACTTAAGAAAAGTCTTTGTGGGGAAATGCTTTGGGCCTAGATTTACTTTCTTTTTTCAATCTTTAAATTTTATTTAAATAAAATCTTTTTCTATAGATTTATTTATATATATGAATGTTTTGTCTGCATGTATGCATGTGTACCATGTGAATGCCTGGTGCCCACAGAGGTCAGAAGAGGAATCATAGATCCTGGAACTGGAGCTGTGGGTGCTGGGAATCAAACCCAGGTCCTCTGGAAAAACAGTCAGTGCTCTCAACCATTGAGTCATCTTTCAAGCCCCACTTTTTGCTTGTCTGTTTGGTTGTTTTGTGTTTGTTTTTGAGATAGGTTTTGCTATATATTAATGTTATATGACCATCATCCTCCTGCCTCAGCCTCGTGAGGGTTGAGGTGGCAGGCAGGCAGGCATGACACCTGGCTTACTAAAGCTAATACATGTTTAATTTGAGTTATTTTATAAGATTGTATCCTGTGTCTTCACAGAGAGATATTTTGATCATGCGGTAATTTTCCTACACTGCTGACATTTAGTGATATTTTCCAGTCAGGTCTATTCTTGCATCAAGCTAGCCATGCCAATGCCTCAACTGGTGGAGTCAGATAAACACTGGGATTACGCGTGATTACACGTGCATGTGTGTGGCTGTGGCCAACTTTTAAAGTGTTCCTTTCTTTTATTGTTTTTGGTTTTTCGAGACAGGGTTTCTCTGTGTAACAGCTCTGGCTGTCCCGGAACTCACTCTGTTAGCTCTGGCCTCGAACTAACAGAGATCCACCTGCCTCTGCCCCCAAGTGCTGGGATTAAAGGTGTGTGCCACCACTGCCTGGCTAAAGTTTTCTTTTTTCTTTTCAGTTACTATGTGTGTGAGTATTTTGCCTGCATGTGTGTGCAAGTGTGTTAGGTCAGAAGAGGGTGTCAGATCCCCTGGAACTGTGGTTATAGATGATTGTGAGCCACCAGGTGGGTACTAGAAATTGAACCCAGGTCTGTTCAAGAGTAGCAGGAGCTCTTAACTGCTGAGCCATCTCTCCAGCCCTATGTGTGGGTTCTGGGAATCCAAACCTCAGGTTGTCAGGCTTCATGAAGCTCTTTCCCCATGGAACCATTCACCAGTCCCAAGCAACCCTTCAAACATGACTGCAGGCACCTACAGAGGCCAAGAGAGAGCGTTGAATTTTGAAGCCAGAGTTCTAGGTACCCAGCTCCACTGTGCTTTTTAAGTAATTATGGTTATTCCTTCTGTGTGTGACATTTGGAGCTGTATCACAGTCTGAGTGTGGTTGCCTAGGTTGTGTGTTGAATGCATTTGTATACACTCCTGCATTTTAAGAAGTGGTTTAGAGGCCTAGGGAGATGGCTCAGTGGTTAAGCGCACCTGCTGCCCCTGTCAAAGACCAGGGTTGATTCCCAGCATCTACGTGGTGGCTCACAACTGGAACTCCAGATCCAGGGAATACAATGCCCTCTTCTGGCCTCTGAGGACACCAGGCATACACGTGGTAACTCATACCTCTCTCAAAAAATAAAGAACAAAGAGACAACTGCAATCCCGAGTTCTGAGTTCACCGCCTCCGGCCTTGGTTTACCAAGTGCCAGCTGTGAGCTCAGCCCTACTACACAGCTAATAATACTTTTGCGCCTAAGCATCCAGAATAGATTCCAGGCACTACTCCAAATGCTTTATAAATAAAAATTCGTATTTAATTCTCCACCACTTGAAGTCAGAATGTCTTCTGCCAGCCTCATTTTAAAGAGCGGAAGCTCAGGGGTTGGAGAGACAGTGGTTAAGAGCACAGGCTGCTATTCCAGAGGACCCAGGTTTGTTCCCAGTGCCCACATGGCAGCTCAGGACCACCGTCTGTAACTCTGGTTCTGTCCTCTGTGGGTACCAGGCACACATGTGGCACACAGACATGCAAAGAAACACTCACACACATAAATATAAAAGTAAAGAAGTCTTTTTAGGGGCTGGAGATATGGCTCAGTGGATAAGAGCACTGGCTGTTCTTCCAAAGGACCCAGGTTCAATTCCAGGCACCCACATGGCAGCTCACAACTGTTTATAACTCCAAGATCTGACACTCTCACACAGATATTCATGCAAGAAAAATGCCAACACACAAGGCAAAAATAAATAAATAAATAAGTCTTTTTAAAAAGAGAGAGGAGGAGTTGGGGCCCAGAGCCATTAAATTGTCCACTCTGCCTTAGAGGTGAGGTTCTAGCTCAGGCTGGACAGCGGACACTTCGTTACAGTGCTGTTTCTAACTGCAGGAAGTCAGAAAGGGAAGGGGATTCACTGGATTACACACTGACTGAAGGAGCAGTGAGCACTTCCCCTTCCTCAGAAGGTTGACTTTGGTTTTCTGTCCTGATGATGTAAGAAGCCTTCTTTCTTTTATTTATCATCATCATCATCATCATTTGGGTGGTTTTTTGGGGTTTTGTTTTTGAGATAGGGTTTCTCTGTGTAGACCTAGCTGTCCTAGAACTCTCAGTGTTGACCAAGCTGGTCTCAAACTCATAGAAATCTGCCTGCCTCTGCTGGGATTACAAGCGTGTGCCACCATGCCCAGCAAAATTTAATTTTTCTGCCAGGTGGTGGTGATGGTGCACACCTTTAATCCCAGAATTCGGGAGGCAGAGGCAGGTGTGTGGTTGTTTGCTGCAGCTGCGGGCGATGAAACACAAATCACAAAACTCAACAAACCCTCACGGAGTTTACTGGGAAAGGGAGTGAAGGGGGGGGGGAGTATGTGTCCGCCAACCAGAAACAGAGATGGATGGGGAAGGGAAGAGAAAAGAAGTCAAGAGAGAGGGGGAGGGGGAGAGGGGAGGAGGAGGGAAGGGAGGACAGGAGAGAAGATGGAGACAGGAAAAGTCCAGTCTGCCCCAGGGGAGCATCAGGAAAGAGAGGAGCAGGAAAGAAAACAGAGCAGAAAGAGATGAGCACCCAAAAAGACTGTTAAGTGGGTGGGGTCTTTTGCACTTGTGTGCAGAGTCCATGGAACCCTGGGCTGACCAGAGTACTGCCTGAGTGCATTCTGACAGGTGACAGGGGCAGGCCGGCATAATGCCTGAATCCTTATAAGGTGGATCTCTGAGTTCAAGGCCAGCCAAGTCTATAAAGCAAGTTCCAGGACAGCCAGGGCTCTACAGAGAAACCCTGTCTTGAAAAAAACAAATTTAAAAAAAAAAATATTGTATCGTTTAGCAAATGTATTTGGAATGAAGCAATACCTATAATATTTCATGATTCTAGGGGTCCTCGGTTCTTTTTTATTGACATAAAAATTACAAAATTGAGATAAACCATTCAGAGAAGCAGTTTAGAGCCAAACCATGGTGTTATTGGCCTGACCTTCTGTAGGAGGCATGTAAGTCACCCTTTCTGTCCTGCAGATATCCAGGAAGCACAATTACTGATAGATTCATTTCTGTTTTGAGATGAGAGGGTCTCACTGTAGCTCTGGCTGTCCTGGGACTCACTTTATGTAGACCAGGTTGGCCTCGAACTCACAGAGATCTGCCTGCCTCTGCCCCATGAGTGCTGGGATTAAAGGCCTGTATTCTACATCTTTTTTCTTTTTCTTTTTTTAAACATGCGGTTTGCTGGGTGGTGGTGACACATGCCTTTAGTCCCAGCACTCATGGGGCAGAGGCAGGCGGACCTCTGTGAGTTCAAGACCAGCCCGGGCTATCAGAGCTAGTTCCCGGACAGCTTCCAAAGCCACAGAGAAGCCCTGCCACAACCCCCCCTAAAAACCCCCCAAAACAAAGCAAAGCAAAACAAAACAAAACAAAAATCATGCCATTCATGTACCACAAAAGTCACCCTTTGTAATTCACTGAATTTTAAAATACTGTGTTCACAAGACTGTATAACCATGGACCTCCCCTATCCTTCGAGAACATTTTTATCACTCCAAGAAGCAACTCTTGCTCCAGTTAACAGTCCTCCCCAGTGTCCAGTTAACAGTCTTCCCCAGTGTCCAGGTAACAGTCCTCCCCAGTGTCCAGTTAATAGTTCTCCACAGTGTTCAGTTAACAGTCCTCCAGTGCCCAGTTAACACTCTTCCCCAGTGCCCAGTTAACAGTCTTCCCCAGTGTCCAGTTAACAGTCCTCCCCAGTGTCCAGGTAACAGTCCTCTCCAGTGTCCAGTTAACAGTCCTCTCCAGTGTCCAGGTAACAGTCCTCCCCAGTGTCCAGTTAACAGTCCTCCCCAGTGTCCAGTTAACAGTCCTCCCCAGTGTCCAGTTAACAGTCCTCCCCAGTGTCCAGTTAACAGTCCTCCCCAGTGTCCAGCTAACAGTCTTCCCCAGTGTCCAGTCAACAGTCCTCTCCAGTGTCCACTCAACAGTCCTCCATAGTGTCCAGCTAACAGTCCTCCCCAGTGTCCAGCTAACAGTCTTCCCTAGTGTCCAGGTAACAGTCCTCTCCAGTGTCCAGTTAACAGTCCTCCCCAGTGTCCAGCTAACAGTCTTCCCTAGTGTCCAGTCAACAGTCCTCCATAGTGTCCAGCTAACAGTCCTCCCCAGTGTCCAGCTAACAGTCCTCCCCAGTGTCCAGCTAACAGTCCT